GCAATACCCTCAGCCAAATCAATAAATAGGTTGTTAACATTATGGGGAATTTTATCCTCAGTACTCATCTCCTCATAGAAGGAATGAGAAACCTGATGAGTTTGAGTTGCCACTGTCTCAGTTTCAAGACCTACATATATTATTGTTCCTGAATCTACTCCTGTGCCATATATTTGAAACCCAAACAGACCTCCAAACCTGTCAATAAAGTACTGCAGATTGGAAATGGTCATGTGAACGGGGTTACACACATAGTTTTACAGTATGGTGTGGTAGGCAACCTTTGGATAATCATATCTTGATCCACTGTTTTTCCCAGGTTGCCCAACCTACACATGACAAATAGGGGCAGAAGTTAGTCTCTATTTGGGCAATCAGGATCAGTAGATCTTATACTGGGACATAAGTATTTATCATTAAACCCATAAGTTCGTTCCCATTTAAGATTACCACATACATTCCAAAGTCTTCCACTACCCGAAATCGCCTTACATGCATCAAATAGTAGAATACCCGTGGAATGTATGGTGCTTATCACAGTCCTATTTAGTAATGTCCCCTGGGAGTTACTATTCCGAATTACCAACCAAATTGTACGGGGTTGGAAATGGGGATCAAAACATTTAGACTCTCCTGATATTGGCTTGCACACACTATAATCAATATCCAAATATCTACATTTAGATACAGATCCCTTACATTCATACTGTGAGTGCCAGATGAGAGTTTGGGATATTTGGTTACCTGTTTTAGTAGTCTTAATGCAACTATCGCAATTCGGTATGTCTGTACTCCTACCTTCCTGAAAAATCATAAAAATACTAAGACACAATAAAACACATTATTCCTGAAATCCTCATTTTTCTTCGACCGTGCGATGGCCTCTCAGCTTCCCAATTGTGAGGGCTGCAAGGATGTTGTTCTTCTGATCCTCACTTTCCTTCACAGAGATCCCTTCAAGATACTCTGGCTATGACACGTAGGCAGGTGGTCAGGCTTTATTATGGCCGTCAAAACACCTACTTGATGATCTTTGTAGACTTTTAATTAGAATGTCTCGATATCCCCTCGTCACTCCGACTGAGTTGCACGCTTCAACCGGGTCCTGCAAGGATTCTCAGGATCTGGAGTAGCTTGCCAAGAGTCTGCTGCTGGTTTAACCTTAGAATGATGAATCCAAGGAGTCACTTCCGCCACCTTTACAGCTGTTGGGGTAGATAAAAGAACAACATACAAAGGCTAACAGGATACACCCCGAGCTTTAACTCAATATGTATTGGTGGGATATTACGAGCAAGTCCTGGAGGATTATTTTCTTCCCATACTCCTGGAATGTCAAATAAGGATTCATCACTCTTAGGGTTAACACTTGTCACTATGGAATAGAAGCGTCATTCTTCTTCCCTTGGCACCGATATCACCATTATGCCTGGTAATCCCTTAAACTTCAGAGATGTTAATCCATTAGGTAAAAGGTTATCTGAGCTTAAAGCTTCGATAATAGATCTCGTCCTAAAAGTTGAATCGGACACTCTGGCATATATAGGAACTAATGCTTCACCACATGGCCTCCCAGAATACAAGTGCGACTCTTAAGAACCGGTCTAGCTGCACTTCTCCCAGTAGCTCCTATCACAGTTATAGTCTTCCCCGAAGGCGGAGCCACCATCTTAGTCACCACAGAATGTTCAGCACCTGTGTCGATCATGAAAGAACTTCTCTTTCCCCCTATTGCTACATCGACCATAGGCTCCGCTCGACCAAGTGGGATGGAGCCCAGTCGGTATCAATAGTTTTCCATGATAGTGTCAGCCAGACCCACAAAATCTCTATCCTCTCTTTCTCTAGGTCTCTGCGTGGGTGGATAGTATCTGTCTCCTTGAACACTTCCTCTACTATTCCCACCATTCCCTCTAAAACTTCCTCTTACTCTATAACTACCACTATAACCTCCTCATACCCTTCTCTCTCCTTGTCTATCACCTTCATACTGCTCTCTCTGTGGACACTCACTCTTCCAATGTCCCTCCTTTCTACAATACGCGCATTAATTCCTACTTAAAGTCCCTTGCTCAGCCTATTCTCGTCTCCTCTATTCACTTCCCTGTCTTTCTACACTTAAGATAGCTACCGCTAGCATATCTGCCTTTTTCCTCATTTTACGTTCTTCCTCTGTCTCCCTATTCATATATACTGTATTTGCAATCTCCATTAGCTGTAATATGGACATCCCTACAAATCCCTCTAATTTCCTGTAATTTCCTTTTACTATCACCTTGGGCCTGGCTGACAAATGCTGAGTCTATCATTCGGAAGTTTTCAGGGGCCTCTGGATTAAAGGGAGTATACAACCTATTTGACTCAAGCAGTGTCTAATATGGGACTTCGGCAAGGCTGCCCAATAATAGGTTCCAGTCTATGAGTAGTAAGATAGGTGTAAGGGGGTGAGCTAATTTTATTAGTCAGCATTTGGTGGATGAAAAAACGTTTTTGTTTAAAGTGTTAAACCAAAAACCTACCAGTAGGTGTCACCAGAGGGTAATTGTATCAAAATAATCTTTATGGGTCTAATAAGAAAACTCAACTTTTAATATATTTATACATAAAATAAAACCTTATAGCAATAAATATATTAAAATAGGGTAAGCAATCCTACATCTATCTGTTATAAACAATGTATTATCAATGTAACTCCCGAAGATGGCCAGTAGGTGGCTTAGAGTGCCTCCCTAAAGTCAAATGAAACAAATAGACTTTAATTAATTATGTCCTATTTTATTATTACTTATTTTAATCAATGTCCACCCTGCTAGCTAGGCTTGATTAAATCTTTAGTTCTAAGGTAAATTAAACATTTCAGTTTGTAGTTTAGTAAAAGGGGACATTTTGGACAAAGCTGGGAGGGGCCCATCCAGTAACTAAAAAAAAACCAATATACCATCTGATACCATTGATCATTGATTAGGGGAAGGGGTAGTACAGAAATACAAGAGTTTGAAACACAGGAACAGATAGGTATGTGGGTAGGCGGGGACAGTAGAGCAGGGGGAGTGCAAATACTGACTATATACCAGTTTTGGGAGTAAGAAATGGGCGTGGCTACTCTGGCTCTGGAGGATGTTTGGGGGGTTGGTAATCAGATGCCAGGGGGGGAGGGGATGTCCAAAGCAGTTGTAATTAAGTCCTTAGTTCTGACCACCATATGGCTACATTGTTTCCCATATGACACAGTTTAATTCACCAAGGCAATTTTCAACAATCAGTTTCCAACAGTCAATTTATAGAAACTGATCATAGAATTCCAGCCTACTAGTTACAGCCACATGTACACCCTGCACTAAATTTAAGTGAAGACTGCTACATGGAGGCCATGCGGCCACCAGGACAAGCTACTCCCTACTTTTTTTTTTTTTTAAACATACAAGACAAAGCCTTGTGAATCAGAAGATTATTTCAACAGAGCATCTGATTCAAAAAGCTGTACAAATATACACACAGTTTCAACAGTCACACCAATCTCCTTATCACCAGCAACACATTGCGCAGTCACTAGGCCCAAACACACACACAGGATCCTCACATGCTCAACAATATCACGACGTCGCACACACAAAATTAAATCAAAAACCCACCAAAGACTATACACTCATCAATGTAACTATTATTCAAACCATACAACTATCCACGCTATTAATCCATATAAACTAACCGATCACATAACATTTCAACAGATTTCATCTCTACAATTATCTGTACTATAAATCAACTTTTGACTAACCAACGATATCACATTCTAGTAACCTCATCTTTACAGTCAGTGGTTATGGTACAGTTAGTAAGTGGTTATAATACAGTTTTAAAGTCACAGATCAGTTAGTAACAGTTATGGTATTATACATATAACATAAAACAGCAATTGTTAGTAATTTTTACACAATGTCAGTGGTTATGGTACATGTCAGTAGTTATGGTACCGTGCGCTATTTTACAGTTATACACACAATTTACACTCCCACTAGACAGCAGAGCTCTAACTTTCTAGTAGGACATACAAGTTAACCAATTCACCAACTACAATATATTTAACAACATTTACAATAATCCCAACTATTCTAACTGGCCAGCACCTCGAGAGCTTTCGATCTATTTATACACCAGAGATTCGATAAGTTCTTCGCTGCCCAGACACCACGTATAGCGAACTAGAGGGCAGAATTTACACAGTACCCAGCTAGTCTATTAAACTATCAATAAGCTAGTGGCTGGATTTACAACAGAGCACACTTAGTTAAGATAGGGTGAAATCTAGCAAACTATAATATACAACAGAGTATGCTAGTCTCCCGGTCCCCCCGACCTAGCGAACAAAATTTACACCCTAGATACGCTAGTCAAGACAGGACACCGGTGTCCGACATGAGCTATTTACACCAGAACTCAGTCTGACCCAAACCACCTATATTAGACGGGCTGACTACAGAGCGTCTAATTTCCAGATAAGTGTTGCGCTTTCACTTCTTCCTTCTACTGAAGGGGCCAATACCAATAACCGGTTCCAAATATAAAACCCCTTGTGGGTCTACCGCTCTAACGGTATCAATCTCACCTGTTAATTTCTGGACCTGGGTTCACTCATAGACGGAACAATCCGGGACTCACTGCGCAGAAGCCGATGATCTCCTGGACAAAAGGCCAGTGGCGCCGAGACGAAAGGAGGTCCACGCAGTAGAAGTCCAGGATTGTAGCGTAGAAGGTTTGGTAAAAGTTTACCGTCTCAAATCTCTGTGCCAGCTTCCGTGCGATGAGGTTCCCGGCCCAATTGCACCAGAAATGTTGCAGTGTAAGCATGCAGAAGCCAAACACAGAAATATTGGACACAGGTCTTCAGGAAGTAACAGGCCTTTATTCACATTACCGATCGGGTCTCAGATGAACTCCTGTTCCAACATTCTGAGAGACCAACACATAGTGTACATTCCTTATATAGCACTATAACTCCTCCCATTAATAGCTACACCCACATATACCTTTAACCAATCAATGAGCAGAATATAGACTTGTACATCTAGTCAAACCACATGGCTCATCCAAGACAAAGGAAATAAGTGCAATTTCAGTTCCTGCATTCCTGCACATGCTCAGTACACTGATGACAGTATCCTAGCTACATGTAGCTAACCAACTGACACAACATACACATATGCCACATGGAGATTTTGGCCTACTAAATTTTAACCATGCTGGAATCCCATCACACCATACCATGAGACTGGGGATAATCGGCTCTTGCACCCCCATACCATGAGACTGGGGATAATCGGCTCTTACTCTCCTATACCATGAGACTGGGGGGTAATCGGCTCTTACTCTCCCATACCATGAGACTGGGTATAATCGGCTCTTGATCACCCACACCATGAGACTGGGGATAATCGGCTCTTACTCTCCCACACCATGAGACTGGGGATAAACGGCTCTTGCGCCCCATACCGTGAGACTGGGAATAATCGGGTCTTACTCTCCCATACCATGAGACTGGGAATAATCGGGTCTTACTCTCCCATACCATGAGACTGGGATAATCGGCTCTTGCGCCCCCATACCATGAAACTGGGGATAATCGGCTCTTGCGCCCCCATACCATGAGACTGGGGATAATCGGCTTTTGCGCCCCATACCATGAGACTGGGGATAATCGGCTCTTGCGCCCCCATACCATGAGACTGGGGATAATCGGCTCTTGCGCCCCCATACCATGAGATTGGGGTATCTCTACTCCCAGGGGAGGGTATCTGCAAATATATAGCCCAATGTAAATAGAAATCAACTCCACTCCCTTTGCTAATTTTCTATTTTATTGGAAAATTATTATAAAAGTTTCAATATAATAATGCAAATGCCAGAAAATAAACAATAAAATGTAACAGTTACATAATACAGTGTAGCATTGTCACCAGCCCACAGTCCCCTCTATACTGGGAGCCCAGGGGGCAACTCCCCCCAAACTCCCCTACAGCTAATTCCTAATCCTGGGCTTTACCCAACACAAAGCATTGTAACCAGGACAGGCATGTAACCAAGGTAACCAAGGTAACCAGGGTAACCAGGGAAATACAATGATCCTGATTTATACAGCAGTAACCACAAGTAACCAGTCACAAATCACGTGATAAATGCCCTCTGACGCCATCAATCCCCGCCAATCCAGAAATGTCTCCTTTGCCGGTTCTGGAAGTAGGAGGAGGCGGCCATTTTGATGGAGACCGCTGTTTATGAAAGTCTATGCAGTTTTCTTCACCATAATGGCGCCGCTATCGTAGACACCAGGACTGCGCAGGCTGAAATCTGAGTAAACACGCGGACGGCTCTGCGTCATGACGTCACTGAAAAGGCTGTCACTCATTGGCTGGACACGCAACTCCTGGAGAGGCTGGAGCAGGAAGTGACCCGAGCTGGGGCTAATGGTAGCCACCAGGAGAGAGCCCAGAGTGAGTAATACCTACTGCAGCCACGTCATAATAATAATAATACCTACTGCAGCCACGTCATAATAATAATAATAATAATAATACCTACTGCAGCCACGTCATAATAATAATAATAATAATAATACCTACTGCAGCCATGCCATAATAATAATAATAATAATAATAATACCACCTACTGCAACCATGTCATAATAATAATACCTACTGCAACCACGTCATAATAATAATAATAATACCTACTGCAACCACGTCATAATAATAATAATAATACCTACTGCAACCACGTCATAATAATAATAATAATAATACCTACTGCAACCATGTCATAATAATAATAATAATAATACCTACTGCAACCACGTCATAATAATAATAATAATACCTACTGCAGCCACGTCATAATAATAATAATAATAATAATACCTACTGCAACCACGTCATAATAATAATAATAATACCACCT